GGTATCCGGTACGTACCGTTTCAGTAACAAAACCGGTACGCATACCGGTACGGTATTGACTACTTTGGTTCCACTTCCATTTAATTAAGCAATTACTAGAACGTTACTAGTGGGTTCCTAGCTGCCTACCATTCCCTCTCCCTCCCTCATCCAAACACTACTCTCCCTCCTTTCTTGCTTGTCTTTCCTCCCAAGCCATAGCCTTTCTTTCCCTCTGTTCTGTGGTTTAGGAGCATGAATAGTGGTTTAGGAGCATGAATAAAGAAGAGAGTTTTTCTTCCTTTTTTTTTTTCCTTTTTTTTTTTTTTTGAGATTTTCTCTCTTTTTTGTTGGATTTTTTTGTCTATTTTTTAAGGAATCTTTGCCTAAATTCTCTCAATATTTTTTATTAAGTTTTGTCTTAATTTGAAGAAGACGACAATGTGGTGGTGGACTAGCTAGGTTGGAACTAGTTGCAGCATTTACTTCTATGTTAGTGGCATAGTCGGGAGGCTAATAAAGACTTGAACTCTCTTTTGAATTAATTTGGGCATAGCTTCAATGATCCATGGAGGAGACTTTAACTTCTCTAGACTAGTGTATATTTCTTGGTGTGACATTCAATGGATGAAGAGTATTATTTGTGAACAACCTGTCCTCCTCAAGAAGCTAGTATAGGAGTTGAGAATGTTCAATAGCTCACAATATATATTCATAGTAACTTTTTTTTCACGTTAGTAACTTTATTTATACCTTTACGATAATTGTTATTATAAATTTTATTTGTAAGTGGCTCTTTATACTTAATTATTTATATTCGTTATGAGTATAGTATTCATTTATATTAGTGCTATAGATACACTTTTGGTTTATCTATTGGTCATGATATAAGAATTCATATGCAATATTTATTTTATTATTTTAATGTAATTTTTATTTTTTAATAACAAATATTAACTAAGTCAGGTACTGATTGGTACATATTTTAATTCAATACACTATACAATACATTTACTAAAAAATTATTAGTTTTTATTTGAAATTAAAGACAAATATACTAAAAGATATAACTATGCATACAATATATAAGAACCAGTTAAATTGTTTGTATTTATATTACTCTTTTTGTTCAAAGTAATTGTCTTTTTTTTTTTACTTTAAATTTGTCCCAAATTAATTGTCATTTTCTCTTTTTTTTTTGAAATAGAAAAATATTTTATTTCTATTTTAACCATATTATTATCTATTTACATTAATTAATCATTCAATCACAAAAACACTTTTTTTATAGTTCTTTTTTAAGGATATTATAATAAACATAAATATTATCTTTAAATTTTTTATTTTAAAAAATAACAATTATTTAAAAAATGTATTTTTTATTAATTGAATCAAAATAAATATAAAAAAATATATTATATCAAATATTTACCAATCGTTTCCTAACAAAGTCAGCATTCCGTGACGTGTGGCATTGTTCAAATTAAATTTAGCCCATTTTAATTTTTTTCATCGATAGTTTACAGAAGGCCAATTGACTCGGCTACTGGAGAAATTCCAGTAAATCCCATGCACACCACATCATTTGGTTTCCCGCTCCAATCAATGAGTGACACCGCATTAAATCAGGTCACCTCATTATTTCATTAAAAATAACTCGGCACAGTACAACGGAGAAAGTTAACGGAGAATTTCCTCTCTCTTCCCAATTACTAACCATTCTCTCTCCTCCTACGCAAAATTCCCTCTGTTTTGTCTCATTAACCAACTCAACTAATAACTTGATATGAAAATTTTCTTGTCTCTTCTGATTTGCTTCAATACGAGTTTCAAGTTTTTAGCTTTTTTTTTGTTTTTTTTTTTGTTGTGATCCATCGATGGTCACTGCAATTCAAAAAATTATTGGTGAATTACACCCATAACTAATGATCAATCTTACCATGAATAAGGTACCAACTTAATTTTTAACTCTTATTTTTTAATCATTATCTTTATAAAAAAAAAAAAATTTAGCTTTTTTGTAATATGGAAGTGTAATACATTTTTTAAAATGATCAGTAACCTTGACATTTTCAAACTTTTAGCAATGAAACATGCGAATCAAATACAGAACCGCAAAGAGGGAGGATAACCCATTTTTCAGTTCTCTACCAATATTTAATCCTCACTTGGAATTTCATCATTTTAAAAATTTTAAAGATTTGAAGATCAAGCTTGATCATCGCACTCATTCACTTGCTTTTTGAATAAAGACAATTAAATTTTTGAATATTGATCAATTTTTTAGATGTTGATAGCTATTGGGCTCTTTTCCTTCTCCTGGTCAATTTAGCAATAGGTTATATATA